TTCTAGTGAGAACAAGTGCTCAGCACTTTCAGAAACTCCTGACCACTTCATCTGAGTGCCTCAGTCCAAGAGTCCAGCTCTTCAGAAAGACTGGCTTTTCAAACAGTCACTCTTCCTAAGTAACCCTTTGGAGATTACAAGTGCACGTCTGTTGAGGAGAATAAGCACACAGGTCCTCTCCCAAGCCTTCATTTGCTTTGCAGAATATACAATAACACTGTTTAGAGGGCCAGTGCTAATATGCCCAGAGGATTCAGTGCATTTACACTAGTACTGAGAATATTCAGGGATCAGCTCCTTCTATGGCCTGGAGCTGCCCCCCACCGTAGCCCCCTGCGCCAGCAGACTGCAGCTGAACCAGGCAAAGACCTTTGCTTCTCTAGGAGCAGATGGGATTGAAAAAAGTTGAAAAGGCAAAATGCCAAGTACTCTGGCATCTCTGCAACTTTAACAGCGAGATTTCTCATCACCTCATGGAAACAAGCCTTCAAAGACTGCATCTCCTGCTGTTACAGTGAATGTGGAAACTCCATTAGTTTCTATGGCATGGTGTCAGCCTCTTATATCCTGGCAGGGGAGAGGGAAAGAAAATGCTGTTCTCCAGTACAGAGTCGGATCTGCCTCCACTGTTTTTCTCCACCTTGCTGGGCATTCATGGGGCTGTGCACCACCATGCATATTCATCCTGGCTGCTTTGCTTAGCAATACTCCTGTCAGTTAAGAGATGTCACTCACGAGGAAAGAACGCGAAAAGGCAGTTTATGTGCTAATATTGTTTTGGTTTTGATTAAGCCTGCTGCTAATCAAGCTCCCCTCGTCATGTCAGCTTCAGAATCAATATTCATACAATGCAGAAAAGCAGGGAAACTCAGTAGAGCAGAAATTTTTACTGGTTTTCAAAAAAACCTGTTGTTTTCTTCTACCACTGCTCCCATCAGCTTGTAGTCCAGCCTGTGAACAGCCAAGACCTTGAGGGCTATTTGTATGCTTGAACAGACCTCAGAGGTGTTAGGCTCCCGGAGGCCCTTGGCTGCTCTACAGCAGAGGTGCACTGGCACCACTGGAGCTGGCTTGGTTGCATTGGGTGCAAAGCTTGCTTGTATATTTTACAGTATACAGCAATGCACAGAGCAGTAGGAGGCCCTTGTGTTTCTTAAAGCTTCAGGCAAGGCACCGTGTGCTGCCACTTGCCAGAATGGAAAGCCAGCAGTCCCTGAATGCCAGTTCATCCTTTATGGAGATGCCAGTGGTTCATGGTCTTACAGGGGCCTGCTCCCACGGATGCTGCATTGGGTGCAAAGCTTGCTTGTATATTTTACAGTATACAGCAATGCACAGAGCAGTAGGAGGCCCTTGTGTTTCTTAAAGCTTCAGGCAAGGCACCGTGTGCTGCCACTTGCCAGAATGGAAAGCCAGCAGTCCCTGAATGCCAGTTCATCCTTTATGGAGATGCCAGTGGTTCATGGTCTTACAGGGGCCTGCTCCCACGGATGAGTTTAATCCAGCCCTACCTCCACAGTGGTCCAGATCAAGTTTATCTTGTAGACAGAGACATTTCTCTTTCACTTAAATTCAGTCACATTCCCAATAAAGTTCTCTACACATATGAACCATATGTACAGGTTACCTCTATAATCACAAATTAAAGAAACCCTTAAAAAGAGTTTTCCTCACCAAGCACCACCATTTGGAAAAGACTTATGTACAAACAAGAAGTCAGCTTATTATAGCTCATGTAGGCATCACACGGGGCAACAGCCAAGTGTTTCACAGTGAAAGCTGTTTCCCACACTCCTGGTGCTATCAGTAATACCGAATCCAGTTAAAAGCAGGAATATATTAAAGATAGCACAGACACTTTAGCATATGCAAAGTCCCCAAGAATAATTGCAGAACAAGTCAAACTATCCAGCACTTTCATATAAAACTGTGTCTATAGTAAGCGGATGTTCAGGTCTGTGTTTAGTGTATGTAACCTTTGTATGAGAAAAAGGCACAGGGACATCATCGTAGAATAAACTCAATTAGTATACAGACTGATGATTTTTTTCATGCAGGCAATTTAATTTCAAAAAGAAAAAGAAATAGAGGCCAGACTTAAATATATGATATGCTGTGCAGGTTTTGCATTGAATATCCTGGATTTACTTTAAGGACATTCTTTAGAAAATATTGATTGGGATTTTCAGGGGTGGCTAAATGACTTAAAAGGATAACTCCCATTGACTTGTTCTACTGTGCTATGGAATAAATCAATAAGGCTTGTTCTCCCTGAGCTATTTAGGGCAAAACCCAATAATGTATTCAGGCACTGCAGCACCTAACTTTTGGGGCTTGGTCCTCACTCTGAAACCCGAAACTATAAATCTTGTCACCTGGCCCCCCTCCTTCAGCATGGGAGAGTCAGCCAGCTCAGAATGGAGCTGGATGCTACGTAGGAAGCATGTTTGAAACCATGCTCCCCAAGCTGTCAAAGGCAGGACAGTGTTTAAGCTCAGTCCTTGTCCCTCAAAGTCTCTGTCACACCACTCTGCTCACTGTCCTTCCAGATGGCTCTCTCCCTACTGAGCAGGGCACATCCAAAGAGCTTTTCTTCTTGGGGACACTAGGCTACAATCTTGATGGCCCAGTGCATCTTGAGTTTTTTGTTTCACAGTAGTAGAACTTCAGTAGGAAAGAAAAGACTTCTGCTCCTCGCGGTGTACTTAGGGCCCCCTCCTAGAAGACTGGAGATGTTTATCTAGCCAGTTTTAACACAGATGTAGGAGGTTTCATTAGATAACCAGGGAGGGAGACTAAGTCATTAGGCTAATCTATTAGAGGTGGTGACAGCACTTGCCAGAATTATAATTTATCAGGGAGGCACATTTCATCACGTCAGGTATTTTCAAAGACCCACTCAGCAGGATAGGTCCCTTTGAGGATCTAGGCTAAGAAATACATAGTTTCTGGTGTCCAGGTCAAGGTTGAGAGGGCCAAAAGGCAAGAAGCAATGACAGGGAGAGAAGTTCAGATCATGCCCGAAAGCAGGAGACGGCCTCAACACAAGAAGGCATCTTGTAATTCTAGGTGCCACTGGGGCTAAACAGGCGCTCACTGCAGAATTCTTGGGCTGAAATTTTTGTATTTAAGTCACTTGACTCCGTTTGGGTCTGTTCTAGCTAATGATGTCCTTTATTGGTGCTATTTCTTATCCACTGCTGGCAATGCGTCCTGCAGCAGAGAAGTCCACATAAAGGTATTTAACATGCGAAGGAGTTACTACCCTGAGTCAGAATCTAAAGCTTCGTAAGAGGATTGTGCAGGCAGTTATATGAGACCAATATGTTTGCTGTTTTGCTGACGCAAATAAATCCTGAAGTGACTCTGGTGACAGTATTCTGTGAGAAGGGAATAAAGAGAGCTTGCCAGAGCATCTGTATTTCCCTTGTGCTTTACAGAAAAGACATATGGATCTTCATAGAAAATTACAACCTCCTTGAACAATATAATAGGTAATTATATTCCTGACTTAGAAATTCTATAGCACACTGCATATAAAAACTCTCATTTGATGCTGCAGTTTTCTAGAGCGCCCTGTTAAATCTCTTCCTTTCATCCCTTTTAAAAACGCATTACTTTTACATCAGAGACCCGAGTTAACTCTTCTTGATCCCATCAGACCTATGTGCACCCACTGCACCACGTATCTTGGAAGAACCCCCACCCCATCACCGTCAGAGAACAACAGCCCCCATCCAGGAGCCGTGCAGCTGCATTCCCACAGCCCTTAGCTTGAGCCCATAGGCTTGAGGTACATACAGAGTGTCAGCTCAGCACGAACACAACCCCATGCCGTCGCTACAGCTGATGGCTCTGGGCAGGCTCCACTGGGAAGAGCAGGCAGAGAGGTCAGGAAATTATCTGCCCGCCTCCCCTCCCCAGTCCTGGTTGCTCTAGCTGCTATGTTGGGTCCAAAAACTGCTCATGCCTGGGACGATTTTGTGAGATGCGTTTGCCTTCCTCCTCCACACCCTTCCCAAAGCATGAAAAGTGGTCATTACTGCTGACTAGGCCTTGTATGAGGATATGCTTTTTTCACAGCATTGTATAAATATGAACTCATTAAGAAAATACAATTATGTTTGTAAGTGAAGAACCTGGAACCTCTTTAGGGTTGTTCCATTGTAACCCAAAAGTATCACATGCAATTTCAGTGATACTTGCTCAATGATTATTAAAAAAAAAAATAGTGCCCTAAGGCTGAAAAGGTGGATGGTAAATTGCAGCTGCAAATTAATTAAAATAATCAGACAAGCCAAAGATAACTCCCATTGTAAGGGGGTTGCTTATAAAGGCAATGTTAATAGAGCATTTACCATCAGGGGTTGCTTGATTCCCTTTTAATAAAATATCTGTGATTACCTGATTAGCTGATCATTGTGCAGAGCATTTTGTTCTCAATACAGCCAGGCAGCCAAGGAGAAGAGACAAGCTTTTACCATATAAGGCTTATTTATTTAAAATTTATAATTGACTTTTTTTTTAATGGATGCATGATCCAACAAGCAGCTGACCTCCAACTACATATACTGCTTCTCCTCTCCCCAGCCTGAGATGAGCCAGCTCTCTGTCATACACTTATCTTGGCAAGGTTACCATATTGATCTGAAATAAAGGTAGGAACACTGCAATGGGTATGAGAAACTAACCTTTAATGGTTAGAAGCAGTCACTGTCCACTATGGTATTACACTAGTCATAAGACATCATGCTAGTATTACGACAACATAGCAGCTGTGGTTCTCCCCCCACATGGTATTATTGAAGAAATAAACTGGTCTAGTTTGATAATATCTGAGGAGGACAAAATAGGATCCATATTTTTTTGCTGCTGCCCACATTCTTAAGGGCTCTTCTTGTGCAGGAAAGCAACACTTGGGAATAAAAAGGCTCTTACAATATACTGGAAGGCCAATAAACTTGGAAAACTCAAAGAACACATGAAGACTAGACACCTCATGCATGTAACTGTATATTTATTTCTTTTTAAAGAACACTCCTTAAATGTATTGTAAGTCAATATACAAACTTGGTTTCACAGATTTATAATCCACTAAATAGCACAAAATATAATCCAGGTCGTTGGGTTTCTTTCATCTCCGTGTGTGTGTGTGTCTGAGTGCGTGCATGTGTGCACGCACGCATGCTGCTGGTGGTAGTGGTAACCCACCACATGTGTTCAAACACAAGCCTGGGCTCCACCTGACTTTCCCCTGGAGCAAGCCCAATCCAGATGGACACCCTGCTCTGGAAGACTGCGACTTTCTTGCCTGTGAATCCCACTCCTCCAAGAGACAGGGTGGTGGAGCTCTCTGCCTCACCAGCAGGGCCATGGTCCTCCATCAGTGGGATAGGATGGGAGCTTCCCTTGAAGCTGACTCAGGCACCGCTGTAGGGAGTGACCAGCTGTGGTGTTCAAGTGCAAGCAAACGCCTTTTCTCCCCACTCCAACCCCTCTCTGACACTTCAGGGCAGCTCTGAATGACAGCTACTCCCCACAGTCAGCCCTGGCGAGCAGGGGACTGCTGGGGCTCGGCGGGATGCCGCTTGTCCAGCCAGCGGGCCGGCTCCTCACCCAGCCCCATGCGGCCATACGGACCTCGCCACCCTGCTGCTGGACTCTTCTTCCTGGCAGTCAGCAGTGCCCTGGCCCCGTGCCTGGCAGCACAGCAAACCTTGCCTGTCCTGGTGAGTTAGACAGACAGCACCAGTGATGCACGTATTTACATGGGGTGGAATGTTTTCCCATAGCTTTTTAAAGGAATATATAGATCAACATGTTCACATAAGACCAAATACTTTTAATATATATATAACTGTTTTATAAAGCTTTGAAAAAACTCACAATAGCACATTGTTTTACTTTAATGCTTTACGGTACTATCAGTTTAAAATCACAATCAGCACTTAAGTTATAGTCAATCCGGCAAACGAGACAAAAAAAAATTACAAGAGTTAAGAACTGACTGATACATCCTTTATCTTTTTTTTTTTTTTAACTAATGCATAAGTGCAGAATAAGATAAGATACTCTAGTTTAAATATCTTGTTTTACAATATACATTTTGTTCTAATTACGCAACAGTAAATCCCATGCTTCACATAGAAAAGCAATTCACAACATTAAGAAAAAAATTTACAATTTATGAAACAAAGTAAATAAATATTAGTATTACAGAATCAGAGCTGTACATAAAAGCTGTTCAGTTTTAATCATATAAAAATATGTTTTAGTGCAACCTCACATATATTGATGCTGTTTTGCTTTACATCATTTAGATCCAAGTGTCCAAAAAAGGAAAGAAATTACATTTATTACAAAGCAGATACACAAATTCTAAAATATGTACAAATTACTGCTAAAAAAATGCTTATAAGAATATAAGCAAAGTAAAGAAAAGGCACAAACATCTGTACAATTTAAAAGTACCAGACCCAATAAGAATTTCAAATTTAGTTTTGGTCAGGCTCATGATGACTTGTTATTTTATCTAATTCTTTTGATATAACAAAAGTATATATAATAGCAAACTACTGTAACTTAGAACAGGCATGCTGTAAAGTTGAATACTTCTATCTCTAGAAAAAAAAAAAAAAAGAAGGAAGTGGGGTAAATGTACGGGTGAAAGTCACCATGCATCTCAGATCAATGTGGCTTGCTCTTCTCAGATGACAGCTCTTTTCTTTCCTGTGTGCTTGATGGGGTGTCGCTCCTGCTGTGAAAGCCCAGCTGCCGGACGTCCACAAAGCTCTTGCTGTAAAAGGTGGGATGTGCTAATGCAGTCTGTGATGTACCAAAACTGTCCTGTTCACCACCGTGCAAGTCAGGATGGGTGGCTGAGGCACAGGGCTGGCCCGGCTCAGATCCACTAAAGTGTTTAATGCTAAAATGTGCACTTTCTAAGGGTTTCTGGTGAGGCTGCTCTGCCCCATGCAGAACGGCTTCTTCTGTGGCGATTCGCAGAGAGGCTATGGCTTTTGTACAAGTCTGTATGTTCTCCTCCTGCTCCCTCTCGGTAGCTACAACACTGTCCTCTGACGTGCTTTGCGCCAGCAACTGCAGCGAAGAGGAGGGCGCACTGGAGGGAGCGGTGAGGTGCAAGCTGTGCGGAGAGGTACGTTTCTCGTGGTGCTTAGAAATACTATACGATTCTTTTGTAAGGATTTCTGCGGTTCCTCTTTGCTTATCCTCAGAGCACTCCCTCTGCAGGGCCAGAGTGGACGGAGAATGTAAACTTGAAAGGGCCACTGGTACTGAATGGACCATCTGGATACCACCGATAGGCATCATGGGGATGGGTGCTCGGATCTGTTGCTGGGAGTGTAGTGGAAGATGACTGAAGACGTAGTCACTCGGATCTTCAGAGAACTGGCTAGACCTGCGGTGCTCCATGCCTCCTTTTTCTCCATATACATTGAAGTAAGGCCCCTGAGACAACCCCCTTCTCTGTAACCAGAAAAAAAACAAAAGAAATGTCAGCACTGCTACTTGCAAAATTCCTGTCCGGCTGCCAAACCACCTATCTGCCTTCCTGTCTAACACAGCCTCCCATTCATGCAGCACCTTTCATCCAGATAGATCCCAAAGCATTTGGAAAACTCCACTAATTGCTTATCCAAAACACAGAGGTGGTTTTGCTTAGCTCAGCCCCACAGGCCTCATACCTCTGAGGTGAAAGGCAGCAGCTAGTTAAGTGTTCAGCGATACAATGCAGCAATTTAGGTCAGGAAGTGAACAGCATTATATTCAACTGAAACTGTAGAGAGAATTTGGGGTAGATAGAGTTTCATTCCCCAGGAGAAATTTGGCCAGGAGATCCATCTGGCCCTTTTAGAGAACTGTGCAAACTGTGTTGGTATTGGCAGTCCACACTGGGTATCAATACCTTGTTGCAGAGAAATACACATCCAAACACTCCCATGCTGATGAGCAGCATGGGAAAAAATCTGACTGCAGGTAGGTACTTTCTGCCTGCTAAAGATTCTGCAGCCTCAGAGAAGGCACTTGCTCCCCACAAGGTTCACCCAATCCTTGATGAAAGGGGATGGGCATTTCCATGGGAATTCAGGACCAATTATGACAATGCCATTACGACAATGGAGAACCATTTTGGCCTATCTATAATGTAAACAATAAATAATAACAAAAGCACAGACATAAGCTGTGAGTGCAAATGATGGTTCTGTGGCAGGGAGATTCACCACTCATAATGGGATTGAGAAGAATGAGGGATTTTGTGATGGCTAATAAAAATCATTCTCACAATATTGACATTCTCAGTAGCTTCCCATTAGTTCCTGGCTTGGAAGAACAAATAGCTCCATTTCCACCCAGTGTTAAATGTGCCCTGGGCTTTTGGGTTTCTCTTGTTTTCATTCTTAACTTTTAAAATTTGTTTTCCATCCGATGAATAAGTATCATTTATTGCTGACCAGAGAAATAACGATGACACAAGTGCAAGATGACTTCTTCATAATTATGTGTGGGATTTGGCCACATAACTCTGACTCCCATAGGAAATTAAATGAATGAACATGCTTATCTCTGCTCTGCAAATTGTCCAGACACCTATCAATTGCCCCACAGCTGCACTGCTACCACAGACTTGGTGTGGCAGCCTGAGGACTGCACTGCTAAATGCCAACTCATTTAAGTGGCAGCACTTCACTGCTGGGAAATCCTAGCTCTCCAGGCATTAAGCAACCTCTTGACCCCATCCTGGGGAACTGGTTTAAGGGGCAATTAAAGATTCAGTTTCTGTGCTACCCAGGGGCTCAATCTCACTGTGCTCAGATGCTTTGTCTGGTTTGATATAAATCAAAGCTGGGACAGGAAGGGTGACCCATAATCATCAGACACAAACTTAAGAGATGCTATTATTCAGAGGCTAATCTATGTTGGGAATTGTCCTATTCAGAAAGTGAGACACTTGAGTCTCATAAAAGAGAAACTGTCATAAGAAAGCACAGTGACAGCACATACAGCTGAATGGGGAAAAATTTACAGAATAAACTGCAGTTGCCAAGCCACAAAACATACTTCACCTACCCTGTCAGTCCTTCCTATCACTAACCTCACCTCTGCACAGCTGCTTGCCTCCTTTTTTTCCCTGTCTTTTGTCTGTCAAGCTGTTTCTGTCATACTGTCCTCTCAGTTGCTTCCTAAGCCATGACATTTATCACTATTGCATCTCATGTGAAATTGGGCTAAGGGAAATAGAGCAAAAGCAACCAAAAAAAAGGAGAGCAAAACTCATCAAAGAACAAACTCAGTCACACAGAAATCTCTAACTGAGGAAGACACTGACTTCATGTTGTACCCTGCCACAGTTCCAAAAGGGAACAGGAAAACAGTCTGTCCTTGTTGGATATAGGTGGCTAATACAATAGAAACTGCTACATGCTTTGAGATCAGCAGTATCATCCAATATATGTCTCGTATGCCTAATTTTCACGCAGACAGTGACAGTGTGTGCATGCCCACTGGATGCCTTCCAAGCCTGGCTAAGCACATATCGGATTATCTTTCTCTAGCTCTGGCAGATGAGTTTGGAAATGGCCAGCATAAATGGTTACAGGCAATAATAAATGTTCGTATCTCTTGCTCTGTTTTTATTTCCTTTACTAGCTAGCACTTTTATACCTACAAACAGACACACATATACATATTCATGGGGAAAGACTATTAGAGGAGTTGCCTACTTTTAATGAACATCCTGAAAATCCAAAGATTTTATTCTGTTGACAGGGTGAGTATTAGATCCCACAACTGAGCACAGTGCAAAAAGTCACAGGATCTTTTTGCAGCACAGTCAGAAGGGGTTGAGTGCAGTGCAGTGAGACAAGTTACTCTGTCAGGCGATGGGAATATAGCTTGTTTCCTATGCATTCGCATTTGTTGCAATTTAGCCTATTTCCTTCCAACTCCAGGTGACATACAATTTCCCAAGCAACTATATTCTGTAGCAGCTTTTCACTAAACTCTCTGACCTGGTCATAAGGCCAGACTGCCACATCACACCCCTGAGCAAAGACATATCCAGCTTCAAAGGTCCCAGTGATGAGGTAGGTTTACCCTGTATCTGGTACATGACCCAAAACAGGCCACAGGGGATTAAGAGGAAGATTGCTTTACAAAGCCAAGCACACTTCACAGATGTCCTCCTGGCAGTCCCAGCCCACAGCCTACAAAAAGATGGCGAGTGGAAAACAACCTCTTTGATTACCACATCCTAATGTAATTGAGGCTTTTAAAGGTTAAAAACCAGAAAATGTTGAACTCTATTGTTAAATTCAATAATACAGCATATTACTGACGTAATGACTATAAATACGTGTGGACTTCAGCTTCAGGATCAGTTCAGTCTTCAGTCCTAAGAATGTACCACCACAGCCCACATACACCAGTGGACCTATTTACAGTTCACCTGGACTTTAAGTGTTTTACACTGGCTCTCTGCACACTGAAGATGATAAACTATTGAGTGCTTGGGAAGGGATTTAATATCCTTATGTCTGGGATGATCAAAGGATCTTAAGTACTATTGACTTGCAAGTGGATATAGAGGTGGCCTTCATCTCTCCTGAGTATTTCAGAATTCAAAGCAAATGAGATGTGCAACAGCAACACAAGCTAAAATGCACTACCTCCTAGAAGCTACCTCCTACAGACAAGTTTGGACTGCTCATAGCAAGATATATTCAAAGACTCATTTTGTCTAGCTCTGGGAATGGAAGAACAGGCAAAAGCTCTGGTCCATGCTGGGAAGTAGCAGGGTGCACTAGGAGTGGGGACAATCAGGAACAGAGTAGAACTGTTGGTGCTGGATCCCATGTTAACAATATACATGTTGTGGGGTTGGAGGGGAAGGCTGCTTTGGACTAACCTGACACGGTCTCTTCTCACTCACTTGAATACCTACTTTAAATTTAAGTGCACCTGCTGCATTCCTGGAGCACATTTTTCCATTTAATTTCAGCTGAAAATAATCCAGGTCACTTACTCCAAGACTGGTCTGCAGTGTGGGTCAAAGCACCACAAATGTGACAAGAGACATTGCGTGATCTAAACTAAAATGGTAACAGAAAGGCATTCATGGTGCAGCGTTCAAAAGCAGCCTTCCCATCTCTTCCTTGCTCAGGACTGACAGAAAATGACTGGCGAGAAGAATCAGAGCCCTTCAATAATAGCACCAGCCTCCTCAGAAAGGCAAGAAACCTCTAGCATTGGCAGACGAGAAGATCATGAATGTATCTGGAGAGCAGTCAGGATGTGCCTTTACATTTAAAGATGCCAATTTAATTTGCCAAAGCCAAATGTCCACCAGCATCAACCAGAGCCTCAGGCTACTTTGCAGAAAGTAACCTGTTGCAAGAGTGCGTCCTGTTATTAACTGCCAAAGAAAAAGAGGTATGTTTTTCTGTATTTTTGTACAACCAACAAAAACAGCTACTTTCCCCATGCTCTTTTCCACTTCCTGAAGAAATTATTTCAACTGCTTCCTATGTGGTACTTTCAATGCTGGAGCACTTTACAAGCTCTTTGCACAAGACCACCAAAACTCATGAACATTCAAGGGGAAACAACATGAAGGGGAACTACATCAGCACTGGCCGAAGTAACTAGAACAAACACATTGATTTCAGTGGAGAAGAAAGAAAACTGGCCTCTTCTGGGAACTGCAGGCACCAGAAGCACAAAACCCACTTTCATTCCTGCAAGGACTGGGAACCCAATACAGCTCTGAAAGAGGAAGCATGACTTTAAGCTGGCCCATGCATCACTGATACAGTTGCTAATCGTGTTCTGATTTGCTGGATTTCACTTCTCTGAAAGTGAAAAACAGCCTTTATTCCTTTTTTCTTCTCTGACAGCTTTCATTTATAGCAAGCTCAGGTGTTATTTGTCTTCCCACACACTGTGTATAATAACTCGTGTTTCACCTAAACTCAACTACTGTTCGGCTAAAGTATGTCTTCCAGAAAGGCATCAAGCGGCGAGGAATCAGTCTTTCCTTCTTTGCAGTCATTTGTTAAGATGGGCCATCATCCTCACTTGTCATTTCCTCATTTAAATTTGCCTGGGCTCCACTTACAGTGATGTCTGTATTCAGGTGGTGGTACTGAGGTCTGGAATTCTCTTTCAGAATACTCAACATGCCACTGAGTTACCAACACTTTCTGTACGACAAATGATTTTTACATTGAGTTTTTCACTGCCACATGGCTGATCAAACCTCAAAAACAAGTGTTAAAAGCCCATCTGGCATGGTGGACTTTCCACAGAAGGAGCTAAGGGTGCTAAAAGAGTCCATACAATGTGTTAAACGCCTTGCTGGAAGGTGTGTATAACACACAAGGCAAACATTACAGCAAGAACTGTCAGATGGCCAAGGGTGACTGTTACATACCCTTTTGCCAGCATTATGACACATCCAAAATCTCTGCTACAGGATACCAGTGGAAATGTGTCATGTGGACATTAGGGACTGGGAGTCCCTGCACAATGTCAGCTGTAGCATCTCACATAATCCCTTCCGTTTGATACTAAGACATCATGACTGTCAAACTGGTGGCTCTTTATCCTCTGTTGTACTTCCTTACTCTGTTGGTAGAACTGCTGGCAGGATTTCTATCCTCTCTGTTACACAGTGATCATCCCTATGAGAGTGCGGCAGGGTTTCAGCATGCCCTTCCTCAAGGGCCATTTAGTCAGTCACCCCTCTCTGCTACTCTCTCCAACAACTCACTAGGTCATGGGCCCATGTCCAAGATGTGGGAGACTATCTACACATATGGCTGCTCACGTTGCAGCTTTCCCTTTTTCTCCTGAAAAGCTGGAAGCCACTTCCGGATATTCCAGGCTGGTGGCATCTTGTGCCTGAGAAGCACCACAAAGACTACACAAAGAGCCAAGAAGACTGTCAATGGGGAAGCAGGGATGAGAGAGCCCTGCCAGGAGGAGAGCAGAGAGGCAGGGGCCCTGAGGCAGTGTGAGCCTCTCATAGCTTGCCTGGGTTAAACCCACACATACGGGGTGGTGAGACTGGCAGTGAGAGAGCAGCAGAAACATCAAGCACGGTGAAGGGAACATACTAAATAAATAACTAAATAATATATAGTGAGACCACTCCTTAACTCTAAAGACCAGATCTATTTGTGGAGAGAGTATTTTGTGAATGCTAGGACCAGTTAAAAGTGCAAAGACGGCAGTTTCACAGAGCTGATTTACCAAAACGGAACGGCACAGACCAGCAGCTGTGCAGGTTTTGCATATCTCCCTTTCCACCCATATGGTTTTGTCCCTGCCAAAACAGGGACAGTTTGTGATAGCACTTTCTGCAGGGCAGACAGCTGCCTGCTCCTGTATCCTTACTCAGTAGTATCCTTTAAACTCCAGATCCTGATTTCAATGGGCACCCTGTTTTCCCAGAGGTCCCATTTATTTTAGATTTTTTTTCCATTAAACAATACTCAGTGATGGGCACTACACTGCAGCATCAGGGCCTTAAGTCCTGATCTGGGCTCGATCCCATCTGACGGTCTGAAAAGTAAAAGGTTTTACAGTGAAGAAACAAGCCCCAGATGCCATATAAACTTCCTGGACCACTTAATATAATATAATACAATATATATAATGAATATAATAAAAATGGGGCAATTAAGGTAAGCCAGCCTAACTTCTCTGAAGGTAATGGAGCTACTCAGGTTTGAACCGAGTGAAAATTTAACACTTAGACAGACTCTATTGCATCTAACTGAATCAACAGCTTGACGTGGTCCCTGTCTATTCCAAATTTGTTGTATTTGTTCCAGACATCCCGTCAGGGCTCAAAGCTTATGCCTTCTTCTTCTAAAAAGCTAAAAATACCGTGCACAAGTTAGGAAAGTATACTGTTTCTGATAACAGGAGTGAAAATATTCTTTCATACTTACTGAATGCCCCACTGGAAAAGATTCGGACTGTAAATATTGACCCATGGACAATGCTGGATTATGGTATAAGCCCCTCCGTGGAGATGCTGCTCTAACAGAGGCCATGTATCTCCTCTCTCGCCTAGGAGATAAATCTCTTCGAACAGATGCATCTTTCCCGGGTGACATTGGTCTCCTTGGTGACAAGTGACGTCTTGGTGACATGTCCCGTCTTGGTGATAACTCTCTCCTCAGCACAGCCTCCTTCCGTGGGGAAAGGTGCCTCATGGGTGAAATATCTCTTCGGGGTGACAGATGCCTTCTGGGTGACAAATCCCCTTTTGGCATTAAATACCTCTTTGGTGAGTTATCTCTATAGGGTGAAGAATCGTAGCCGGGTGATGACTGTTGACTGGAAGGTGAGAGGTCCCTCGGAGATGAACTAGGGTCTAATGAAACCACATAATCCTCATCCATGCAGCTGGGTATGTCCAATCTGTCTTTATCGGGCTCTGAATCGGTACTCTTACTCTGGAAAAACCTCTGATACTCTGTCATCTGTGAGTCTTCACAGGAGTCGCTTGGTGTTATAAGCTGAGTAACCTGAATGCTAGGTAAGGTGACCAAGTAACTGATGAGGGAGGAGTGTCCCACAGGAAGGGAGCCCTCAGGGGAAGCCCCCTGTGATGCCCCAGCTGAGTTCACTGACAGGGAGGAGAACCGAGGGGGCTGTGGGCTGGTGCTTCTTGATCTGGTTTTTGGTGTCGAGTCTCCCTGAGTATCATCAAAATCATCCTCATCTTCATCATCATCATCATTGTCGTCACCATCCTCGCCGTCTGACTCCTCTGCGTCAGAAAACTGGTGTTCTGCTGACAGGCCTGCTAGGTTGCTACTCTTTTCTGCCTCCTGCTGCATGTCCTCCATGTTTTCTGAAAGAGCCACAGCAAGTCAAAATGGTGAGCACATACCCCATCTCTTACACCTTCCACCACATTCATTCCCCACCCAGGACACCTACTGCCATCGCTAGATGCTTTTCATCTGGGATGGCTGCATAACAACATTCTTCATACTCTCAAACCATAATTTTTCATAGTAATAACTTTACAATCTATACTTGAAGTATAAAAAGTAAATTCATCCTATCCCATCTTGCAACTTCACTAAAAGTTCCCACCTCTCATATCTAAATCAAAAAGATTAGGAACTTTGTATGAGATAGAAGATGACAGATCATACTTTTATTTCTAGCTCCTCCTCATGTATCTTAATACAAAATGGAATTCAGACACATGGATTGGATTTATTTTTTATACTTCCTGTTTATTAAAAATATGCCTCTTAATTAAAAAATACCCCAAATACTTTTAATATATTTTCCCATGCCATCCACTGTGCTAAAGTGCAGTGAGTTATTTGCATACTCCAGAGGCCATTCCAACTAAAATTAAATCATTCTGACATACCTGCTTCTTCAGTTTCAGCATCATCTACAGATGTCATTGATACTCCGAGCTCCAGGCATTTTTTCATATGTGCTTTAGACTTCATATGTTTTGTCAGATTTCCTATGGGTCAGAGATTAATTTAATTAATGGACAACAGTAAAGATCACTCTCCAAGTCAGGTTTTGGTGTATCTTAACTTCGTTATGCTGCAGATGGGGGCTTTTAGTTTAAGAAAAAAACCCAACAGACAGGGCTGACTCATCCAGCCCACTGCCCTCAGAGCCTGTTTTAATGAGAGTGGGTTTTTGTATTAAAAAAACCTCAAACTTAAACTCAGGGCCTGAGAGGAATATAAGCATCTGTCCAATTTTCCACATGGCATTTAGGCACCCCAGCAAGCTAAAAAACTCTCTTTTTGATGTTATCTATCAGTGTTGGTGGTATGTACAGACTGCCTGGGCATCAAAGTAAATCCAGTCCACACCAGCCATTCAGGGCTCACACTCCTAGTTTCACAGTGGTACTTTCAAGCTGAGTGCTCTTCCATGTACTTCATATGTAGGTTCCAAATGTTCAGCATATTCAAAGCACTTTGAAGGAAAAGTACCCCACAAAAAAAGACATTTATGGGAGACTTTCTTTTGCAAGTTTACCATCTACCTGCAATCTCTGAACTTGGAGGAGCTGTCCTTAACTGCATTCACCTGGGATGCGGGAAATCCAGGTTCAGCTCCCTACTTTGGAGTACGAATCTGAACCAGACACAGCTGGGATTTGAAATCAGATCTCCCGTTCCCCTGAGGGAGCAATCTAACACTAGACTATTGACTTTCTGGAGTGCCTGTCTTGGTCTGTTTTTTCACAGACAAGAAAACTGGGTTGAGACTGGCCCCAAGAGACATTTCATGGCAAAGAATATTGAGCACAACCTGGAGATAAAAGAATATAGCTCTAATCAATAAGCCACTTTGGGCACATTTGCAACTTTCAGTCTCAGCTAGTTCAAATTAATTCTCTTCCCAACAGGAGTTTTTTATTGTGCCTGCATGAAAAGTCTAACTTGGCCACTGGTGCCTCTGCATGGCTAAGTGCTCAAGGTGTACACTGAAAACCTAAGTACCTCTGAAGGTCTAAGCAAAATAGCAACAATAGTTATGAGCCTGACAACTGCTCGTAAGCAGTAATCATCAGTTAAAAACTTCTTGTACTTTGAAGGTGAATAACTTAGTCACTTAGTCTCTTCCTACTCATGCCCTTCTTGTGCAATAGCATGCCACCTCCTCCCTGTTTCTTCTTCTCTGCCATAAATGCCAGCCTCAGCAAGCAATTTCACATTTCTTTCCATGCCATCTCTTCTGCCTGGAATGCCCTCTCTGAACACAGCTGCAAAACCACAATCCTTCTTCAAGTCCCTCCTCAAGGCCCATTCCTCCAGCGATGTCAAATGTAAACAATGATCCAAGAACAGCTCACCAAATGGTCTATTGGGACTACAAACGAGCAGCTCCTTGTCTTTGTCTCTACATCCCCATGAAAGTTCTCATCTTAAATTAGGTTGATGGGTCTACTACCATCCATCAGCTATTCCCATCTTTGGCAGAGGAAGAAGTGCTGGAGTCATGGAAACTATTACAATTCTCAATCCTCAAAACAGCCATGAAGCTGCGCTGGGATCTTGGGAGAAATTTCCTTCAGTTTCCTCTCTCCCTCTTCAAGTAAATTCATCGCACTGGGACCAGAATCCATTTCCCTTGTCTACCAAAGGGAAGTGAAGAAACTGAGAATTTAAGGCTCATTTGGGCTGTGCTACAAAGAAATGCTACCAAAATAAAAGATATATTTTTTCTCTTAAGGAGATAGTTGCAACACATATCCAGATTCCAAAGAATATAATTATCTGTGGCCTCAGCGTGACAAATGGAAGCTTTTTTCTGGGCTGATAAATACATGTGAACACAAGCTATCAGATCTCTATTCATAATTAATGCCACAGTGGATGGAGTGGCCCATCTGGGAGACATACATTATTTATAAACTTGAAACTGACCCACTGTAAAGCCCGTGAAGGCATGTTTTCCTCAGCAGCTGATGCTCTGCTTCTACATTATGTCATAACAAGAGTATTATCCTGGTAGCATTTAAGTGTTGCTGCAATCAAAATTTGCACCATGTAACATTTTTGGCAGAAAGTATTATTGGTAAGGGTGGTTCTTATGCTACTACATTTTCTCTGCAGACATATGGACCAGTCAAGAGCCTATAGCCTGCAATGAAGCAATGCAAAATCCCTGGATCAATTAAACAGAAGAGAAGAACTTCTTTGATGAAGTCATGTATAAAATAATTTTGTTCTGAGGAAAATTCTCTCCTTGATTGCAAAGGGTACTTGGAGCCCAGATAGCAAAACAGCTCAAGATCTGTTTGGGAAGTGGCAAGAGTTCAGCAAAAAGGGTCAAGTACCTTTAGTTTTGAAAGCAAAATTGCACAACTTGCATACATAAGGCCGGACATCAGTATGAGTGCGGATATGTTTCTTGAGCATGCTTGGCTTTTTGCAACGAATTCCACATTCTTCACAAATGTACTTTCCTCGGCCACGACCTCTGACATAGACATAATCCTCATTTGATTTATACCTGTTGGAAAGGAGCAAGCACTTAAATCACAGAGACTCCAGGTCACATACATGCATAAACATCCCCTCTATGCATCTGATCCTGATCCTGTATACATCTAATCGAAACAAATTTGCATAAGTCCATAGGAACTACTGAACTTTCAGTCTGGAACTCACAAAGTATTTGCCTTTCAGGGAATGCACTGGTCCCAAGTGTGTTTTAACAATATGAGACCAAAGAGTTAGATTGTAAGAATAGTATAAACACCTTGTCAGAAAACAGATTAGCTATTATTCCTACAGACACAGCACAACTCCAAATACAAGTCTGCAGGTTGGATTTGTTTCAGTTAACTGTAGTCTTGTACAATGCAGGCATCTACCACCACTGAAAACAGTGTTTTATGTCACGGTCCGTTTAACCATTTTAGTGTATTTATCCCTTGGGATCAGATAAATCACATCCTGGAAATTCCCGTTTCTCCCCATTAAGCATAAAGGGAATGCAGATGTCTAGCAAAGACATATGCATTTCACTACAGATGCCTGAAGTTCCCGAAGATGGATCCCTCCCTAAGGGACACCAAGCTGAGTTCACTCAGGTATGTGCTGCTTCAGAAATAAAATGGGAAACTTCCAAACTGCATACTTAGCAGAAAGCTGTTAAAAGAAATTTTCTTAGCACAGGCGTAAGCATTCCATGCTATTTTTGCTGATTACATAGTGTGTAGTTAGATAATAAATAAGATATGGAAATCTATTTAAAGGTGTACATTGCCTTTACTATCATGATAAATTGTTAACACTGAAATCTAAAAGGGCCCAGGGGAGCTGTTCTGAGGTTTGAAAAGCACAGGGCATTCCCTAGGGGGAGAATTTCATCCTCACTCACCCTAAATAAAATCCAGAAATTGCAAGAACTGAGAAATAACATTTTTTCTGCCCTCTGTCCTCCATTGCCCTCTACCTAAGAAGCACAAAGTACTTTCAGTCACCCTGTGGATATGCAGCCCACAAGATACCGTTGGTACTGTCAGTGCTTTAAATAAATAAGGGACTACGTGAAAGATTCTGTTAATGTGATGATAACTCTACAAGAAGCAAGTGGAAATTTTGGGGTTACAGAGCTGAAACTTGTTTCAAGTGTGCTTTTCTTAGATGAATACTTCTTCCGTATGTTCAGCTACATCGATGGCAATATAAATACTGAAACTAGTATCTTAGAAATACATAAAACACTGTCCTGTTCTTATGTCCATCTTGTTATCTATTAAACAAGGGTGATCAGGTATTAGAACAGGCTTCCCAGGGAAGTGACCAGAATCACCATCCCTGGAAGTGTTCAAAAAACGTTTAGATGAATTCCTCAGTGACATTGTTTAGTGGTGGACTTGGCAGTCCTGGGTAAAAGGTCGGACTTAATGATCTTAAAGGCCATTTCCAAACAAGTTGGAAAACATCTAAACACATCCGCTCCTTTTTAAAACGCAGATGCCTAAATAAATTTTTTTTTTCATCTCCTTTCCAATAAAGATGGCCCTTTCCATTTTCCTTCATTGGGCAAAACTGGCACAGTCTAATGTCATTTAATATCTAGCTATCTCTCTAGCAGGATTTTTTTGTTTAGCATTTCTGTGATTCTGCTTTTCTGTCTGCTCCATTTCCCAAGTTCTCCTTCATATGTACATGCTAATAATTCCTAGTCACTTCTCTATCCCCTGCTTCATCAGCTATGTCCAAGCTTTCTCCCAAAATGCCCAATATTGTTTGAAAGACTGCAGTTTTATCATCTTTTCATCTCTCCTTACAGCCTGATTTTGCTGGGATGGGCACGACAGGCTTTGGCGCAGTGAGGTGGTGCTGTGCTGTGACATCTACACTTTTAGCCTCAACCCCATTCATTTTGTTCCTTCAGCCTTTCACTCATCCCTAGCAACATCTATTTGCTTTCTGCCCATCTGCCATACGAGCTCTCCACTCCTCTGGCACAAGGCAGCTGCACAGCTGCACTTCCCCGCCTGGTGGACAGGCTTCCCCACCAACTGAAAACTGACAACTGCAGGTCTTTCTCCACTATGGATTCTGAACTGCCTTCTTCACGCTTACAGAATGAAAGCAGTCAAGAAGCTTAAGCAAATCCACTCCCCAAGTCAAACGAAAACCAAAAAGAAAACACTCTGCTGAAACAAGATATCACCATGTGCACTTGTCTGTCCAGAGGAGAAAACATGAAACAAAGATGACAGACATTTGCTGCACAGTTCAGAGCACTATTTCAGTGCATGCTGAGATGACACAAAGATGAGCTTGGTGAGACTAGAGCAGAATAGAGGAGAACAGAACAGCTCTAAACAGCCAAGAGCAAACAAGCATGGAAAAAACTAGCTGTTAGAAGTCATAAACAAAAACCTAAAGAGGAAGACAAATTCAAAGATCAGGACAGAAAACAATGAAAGACATAGTTATAATATCTAAAGAATATTAAATCCATTTAAAAAATAGCCGAACTAATGAAAAGAATGATTCTACCTTTCCACAAATAGTTCCTATAAAATGTACAATAAAATGATGATGTATAAGGAAAGAACGGACCCATAATGTCCCTGCTCATTGCACAGGGGTTGGACTAGATAACTTTTGAAGGTCCCTTCCTACCCAAACTATTCTGTGATTCTATGATTAATACTACATCATTTCATTCACTTTGCAGGTCATAGGCTCCTACTGATGAAGTCCCAGTCTACTGTACAGATTATGTGTATGTCCGTGTCCCACTCCCCTCAAAATTAATCTGCACATCAAGGTTTCTTATGTTTTGTTTTACTCAAAAGGGTATCTAAACATAGCTATTTATTACTAGAAGGCATTTCTAGGTGAGATGCAAATTATATGACTTTACACAGTTTTATAGACCTTATTGGTGTACAGGGAAACCTGAGATGGTGCAAGTAACATACAAAGTTTCTTAAAGAAGTTATTAGATGGTAAATGCATTTTATAGAGTGATCTGTAGCAGCTCGCATGGACCTGAATCCTCCTTTAAGTTGCTTTTCTTAGCACACTTTTACTCTTTTGACCTCTCATCACTCAGCTTACATAGTGCAGACTATCTTCAGCTGGGTGATCCAAATTCAGAAATGATACACAGTGGGACGCAGGCAAATTTTATACTCCAAAGTGGGTGCGAGTTGAAGCAGCAACTCTTTAAACTTCTTGTAAACTTAGGTTCACTCTTGTGTAGCCAGACTACTGGCTTGGGTATTGGGACAAAGTACAACTACAGAGAACAGCCAGGACCAGGGTGTCTGGGTCAGCATACCTACAACAATCTCCAAAATAACATTTTCAGTCTTTCAGGTGAGATGTAGGCTATACTCCTTCAGTGTTACAGACTACAGAGAAATGCCAATGTTAATTTAGTGCAGACTATTCAAATGAAACTAAAACACATGATGTTAATGAAAGACAACTGAGATTTTTACAGGGTACAAACTGACAGGAAAAGGAAATGTATGTACAAATTTTTCACTTCTCCATCCTGACCTGTTTAGTTACCTCAGTGAAACAGTGCTGTGAGACCATCTGAGTTTGGTAAGACAGAAAAACACATCTTGTTCAGCCACCTGACTATTCACTACTGACAACTGGCATATTAATTGCATCGTGTCAGAATTCTGTAAAAGAAATTAGACAGTTTCTTCCATTTTAGACTATACTGCTGAGGCAAACAAGTGTCCATTTCCATTGCTTTTTATAACAAGCTTCACACGCCTCCAAACAATGTTAATGGGTTTTCGGGTCTCCTTTTTTCCTCTCTTTTATTTGTTTTGTTATCACTTGAGTGACAGACAGCCATGGTAAAATTAAACGCAGTTTTATCAACCATACATGACAGATCTACAGATTAGGCATAGATTTCATTGTCACCTTACATTTTATCTCGAAAATCTAATTTCAGTAAATAATAAAAAATTACAAGAGTTAAGAGTAAGCATGCCTAGCTAACCCATTCAAATGCTTGAAAGTACACAGAATCTCAAAATGGAAAGATAACCTCATTGAAGCCATTAAATACAAAGAAATGGTATAGAAAACATCAAAATGTTAACTGTTTATCCATTTCTTTTTGACCTAAGGAATGAAAGTAACAATTCTGAGTGAGTGCTCCCACAGAGACAGAAAATATAACTGTCCTAATAGCAAAGTAGAGCCCAGAGTAAGTATACAGGTACCCTGTGGTTTATTTTAAGACTGACATATACACAAAAAAGAAGAGATTTGGGAGCTACAGGACATGGCAGGAATACAGGAGACTGTTCACATCGGAACTCATTCATATTAATTTTCAAATCTCTTTAAAATGACAGGCTGAGCTTGAAATTTCCAGTTGTTTTTTCTTACCCTCCTTCAAAGATTTTAATTCGTATCGGCTCAGTTTGTTTGGATGTAATGTCTTTATCTCCATGAATGTCTCCTTTTACTCTTTCTTTTATAATATTCCCCACTACTTTCTTTTCAAGCTTGCTGCCAAACAAGAAGAATGGCTCGTGTTTCATCTGTAGAACAAAGTCAAGGAAGGGTGTTACTGCTGGAGCACACAATAAACGCACACTTCATTTCAAGTAACATTCCAGGTAAAAGCCAAACTCTCATTTTGATGGAACTCTATAAGAAGAATTAATTTGCCCCATTTAATTTAACTAAGATAAAGGGCAGCATGAACAAATTTTTACCGCACCATATCTTTCCTCAGGAAAAAAAAAAAATCTTGGGAAATAGAGGTGGAAAAACCTTAGAAAGCAATTTATTGCCATTACAGAATTTTCCCTGGCACCATTATCTAATGCTTAGTTCGTGAGGAAGAGTAAGTATGTAAAAGACATTAAATGGAACTGAAGATCCCTACTAATTTTTAACTTAATCTTTAATTACGAATGCAAATGACTGTTTGTGCCTGATACTGTTTGAATCAGGACATGGCAAAAACAAAGGACAAAATAAAAGGAGATAATTAACCAGGCTCTGGCACACATGAAGGGAGGACTTTAAAAGCCTCATTTTTTACATCTCATGTTGAAAATGGAGAGAGAGACAGCAGAAGTAGCAGAGCTTGCAGAAGAGTAAATTTAAGCTCAAAAGTTGTCATGGGAAGATGTCAATGTCCCATTTCCCAATGGGGAACCTTTTTCTTTGAAAAAATCACTAGCTTACATTTCATAGTTTACTAATATTTTCTCAACTAAAGATACACAAATTAAATTTTATTAAAACCTCTTATTTACCTGAGCAAACTGCTTCCATGCACTTGATGATGTCAGTTTACCAGCTCCAGGTCTATGCATAGCAGCCAGAGTGTAGATTTCCGTGGTGTTTTTTTGCTTGGACCTTAAAAGCGCTAAAGTAGTCTTTGTACTTAGCCCAGATGGGTTTGGGTTACATGAACTTATACACCATGAAGCATAAACTGAAGATTTGAGGGTTGGTTGCTGTATGTAATTGGGCTTTGTATAGTTTAAGAAACACCAGCTCACAGTAGTAGTAGTGCGCAGACTTGGGAACTGAAGGATCTGCTGAAAATCTGCTGCGTCTGTCAGGAGAATGGTTGAGCCTGTGACTTTCCCACTGCCATTGGATGACACCTGGACTAACATCCCAAGAGGCAATTTTTGATGTTTCAGCTGGTCTTCTGGCTGAATTTCTCCTGGTGGTAATGAAGACCTCTGTGGACTCATGCTCATATCTGAAGCTGTTTCATCCACATCCAGTTCTTCTGGCGAGTCTCTTCCTTCCGAAGGGCCACTGGACTTCTGCCCTGGTGACGTGGAATCAAAACTGGAAAGTTTCTCCCTGCTCGGTGGGAAAGCATCAGGTGCTGGCATGCTCACAGGTGGGAAATCTTGGGATGATGAGGACGACAGTGGTGATGAGGATGACATGGATGGCAGACTTTCTTTTGGCTCGGTAGCACAGCTCTGCCGTACTAGCTGAGGCTTCTGCACTCTTGGGAAATCTTTCTTTATATCTGAGTTAGTTAACTCAACTGCGCTTAGTTCCTCAACTATCTGCCCATACATTTTTTCTTCTTTGACTCGTTTCTGCTGCTTGGTTTCCATGAAGAGCTCCAAGCTGCTGGCAGGTGAAAGCATTCGTTTGCCTCCTCCCAAGGTAGAAGCCATGTCTGAACTGGAAGGCAAACACAGGGGAATTCGCGGCTCCAGTCCTAGTGGTAACGTCTGTGGCACTTTCCACAAAGGATACTTTTCTAGCCCTCCATGCTGACCCAACATCTGAGCTATGTTAAATCCAATTCCTTGCATGGTTGCATTAGTTGCCAATGTTCTTTGAGAAACAGTCTCATCAACTTTACAAATTACAATTGCAGGACTGTTACTTTGTCCAAGGATCTGGGAAATGCTTGTGTACATGACACTACCATAAGATGGCACATGGGTTTGAATTCTGACAGGAACAACTGTTCCTGGCAAAGACTGTACAGATCCATCACTTGGGGAGTCAAAATCTGTCTGAAGATGCTGCTCAGAGGAGGTATCTGTTGGTTTAATGCTGTGGTCTGACTGGTACTTAGCAAGAGTATTTTTTGAATACTGCCCAGATGTTCCTGAGTAATGCTGGTATGCTTGCTCTTTAGCATGCATATAATCAGCTGATTTCTTGCTAATATACTCTGGTGCATGTTCCAGGTGATAACTTGGAGGAGCATCTGTTTGGAAAGGCTGTTTGACATAAGATTTCTGCAGCTGTTGTACAAAATGATGCTGGAAGTGTAGAGGTTCTGTGCATGACTGCCACAAGACAGGCTGCTGAGATGGTGGTAAGTGAACCATGCAGACAGCTGGATAGGAGAACTGAAACAAGGTGCTATGAATAGGGTCAAATGGGACTTTTTCCTGATGTGCAAATAGCTGCTGCTGCTCTGATGGATGTTTGCTAGGAATATAAGGTGCTTGTTGGATCAAGGAAGTCCTTAACATTTCTGAGCTGTCTGCAAGAAGAGCCTGTTGCTGGGTGAGGTGTGATGAGCTATTACTAAGTTGAGCACAGGAGCCAATAGCCTGTTTTCCAGAGTCATCTACCTGAATGGGCTGAAGTACAGAGGAAGGAGAGTGATGCCAGGCAAGCTGGGAGGAGCGAAGACCAGCCTGTGCATGTTCCATCTGCTCCTGCTTTATACTTTGTTCTGTACTCTGATCAGTCTGGGAGATCTCTGGAAAACCACTGAAGGAAGCCTGGCGAACCAAGAAGCATTTCTTCCTTTCTCGGGATGGAGACAGTGCCGTAGTGGGTGTCCCAGCTGAAGAGGCATGGGACAGGTTCCCATAATCAAATGATTTACTTCGGATCTCTGGGATTTCAGCAGCATGAGGACAGGGCATCTGTTCAGATGAGCAGCGTCTCATTTCCCTCTGATGGTGATGCCCAGGGACGGAAAGTGAGTAAGCACCGGCTGGAACTGTTAAAAACTCAGACTGTTTTCCAAACTCATCTTGTTTGGAAGGTGTGATGAGCTTCATGTTCTCTTCTCTTTCAAAGGACATTGAGAAACTTGAACTGTGGGACAAATTACTTTCTTGGCTAGGGCTGCGAGAGAGGCTTGTACCTGTGGACTCAAAGCTGGATTCTCCAGAGGAGTGCTCCATGTCAGCCAGTCGTAAACGCTTCTTTTTGGGTGGTAGCTTTTCGGCTGGAAGTTGAGAAAGGGTTTCACTTCTCTGAGGCCACTGGAATTCTTCAGTGGGTCTCTCTTGCTCTTTACTCTGCACTTCTTTATCTTTCTCAGGCTTATCTGGCTCTTCTGTGACACGAATTTCAGGTACCTGGATGTTGTGCTGGCGAACCAGCCTAGGTTGCATATGATATGGCTGAGGCTGCTGGGATGGAGATGGCTTACTGGTTTCAGCAGTTTCTGTTTGTGGAGCTCGGTCTGGGCTCATTGGGGACTCACAAATCTCACTTTCACATGTTTCAGGTGGTGAATAGATCTTTTCCTGCTGGCATGCAATAATTTCTGTAGATTCAGACCTTTCAAATGAGTTTGGCCTGCTCAATGAATTTGTGTGCTGAATGACAGAAATGACATTTCCAGGGGGCTTTCTGGCCAGTGATTCTGCAGTCTTTTCTTGTTCTGCAGTTAAGGGTGAGTCTTCCAGAGAAGCAGCCGGGCTTCCAGACTGCAAGTAAGGCCTGCAGATTTCAAAACGCTCAGCATGGCAATGGGCAGCATTGTCCAGACCTTGAAGGGCAAACCCACTCCTTGGCACATCCTGAATTTGGGATTTGGGATCTAAGTCCAAAGGCTGAATTCCCCCAGTGGTTCCAGTAGTACTGCTGCAAAGCATGGGGCTGTCTTCCTCATCTCCAACACTCTCTTCTTTCCTGCGCTTTCTGTTTTCAAAAGTTGTTCCAAGCATGGATGGCACTGCCTGGGATTGTCCGAATGGATCAACAAAGTACTCTCCCACCTTGCTCATCCCTCCTAAGGATGGAGAGTCCCTGTAGCTCTGCTTCTGAGCTTCAAATTCTTCCCACTTTCTGTAGTGCTTTCCACTGGCATCATAGTCATAAAAGGTTTTCTCTTTTAAGAATGGTCCTTTGTCACCTATTGTTTGTCTACTGGAAGCAATAATGATATTTTTCCCTGTTCTTCCATGATAGTCTGAATCTGAGTGTCCCTCCTGCACAGAGGGCAATTCAAAGGCAGCCTGCCTTCTCAACATCCTTTGGTGGGATATTCCCACTGTCCCAGGATAAAATACATCATCTGAGCCAGTCATCTTCTCATCAAATGAATGGCTTCCTCTCAGAGATGGGGGAATACTTAGGTTGTTTGCAGAAGAGGTTGGCATGGAGTTACTTCTAATAAGAGGAGAGGAATCTACTGGAGGCTCTAGAAGGACAGGCATGTCACCCTGGAGACTGACTTGGTACAAACTGGATTCATTTTTGATGGATGATGTGGTGGTCTGGGACTGCCTAGATTCTATACTGCCGCCTGGATAAACTTGTGTAGATTTAATAGTGCTCAAATTACTGGAGTCAATGAGTTCTTCTTTATTTGGAGTCAGCTGAGTAATATGTTCCTCCAGCATCTTGATATCTAATCTGTTATTTAAAAGAGGTAATGGCTCTGCTTTGCCCTTTCTACCCATTAAACTGTGTTCCTGATTTGTTGTGGCTACTGTTAGTGCTGTCCTTTGATTAATCCTATAGAACTTCCCAAAGATGATCTCTTCATAAGACTTTGCATTAGTATTTGGTGGGCTAATTTGCTGCTCAGCACTTTCTGAGCGGGAAAAATAACCAGAGTCAGTGCTTCCTTTGCTGTGTGGGCTCAGGAGGTTTAACGACTGCTCAGAATCTTGCCCTTTTTTCTCTGACAGTCTTAGTGCAAGTCGCTGTTTAACTGTATGAGAGTCATCAGACTTGGTACTTAAGGATGGGTTTTGCAACATATCAGAGCCAATATATGGTGAACTCTCACTGGGTAACTGAATTCCACTTTTAGGGATAATCAAAATGGGCACTTTCATTGGCCCCACCAAGGACTCTTCCATGGAGGAGTGAAAACTGCTCCTGCTACCGATGTCCAGGGGGAGCTGTGGGACAGGGCTCAGTTTGTCAGACCCTTCCATTAGGAGTGGGGTCTCTTCATCAGTGTCCGTGCTCTGCTCGCCATCTGAATGTATTTCAGCCTCCACATCAATGTAACTGGCATCTAGGTCCAATTTAGAGACTGCTGACTCTGTGAAAGGTACCAATCCTGCCTTGATTGCATGGGCATGTGACTTCCTGTGCTTGTAAAGGTTGCTCTTCGTCTTGAAGGAGAAACCACAAGGAACACAAGGGTACGGTCGCTCCCCAGTATGAGACCTAATATGCTTTTTAAGTACACTAGGTTTGGCACAAGCCCGATTACAGTAAGGACAAATGTACTTGCCAGGCTTTTTGGGTTTGTGTTCCTTTTTGTGAGCATCTTCTGATTGTTCTAAAGATTTCTGTGAATATTGGCTGTATGCAGGGTTCAAACTTGAAATCTTCTTCCTGGAGAAACCTCCGCTATGGCTATGCATATGAAAAGGAAACAAGTCCTCTGAAGCAACTGATTGCAAGTGGCTAGGATACTGCCACGGAGGGCCTTCCAAGCTCTGATGTGGCTTTATGTTGTGCAAGAAGCCTTGTGGCAATGAATGCTGTGGGAAAGAAAGTGAATGTTGACATGAGTAAGGACTTGGACGATGCTGTGGGTATTGCTTCTCTGTGACTTGCTGTGCAGCTTCATTTGATGATACCAATTTCCCAGAACCAAAAAGTTGTGCTGATGCTGTGTTTCCTATTTGCTCGTGATCTATTTGTGGTTGCCTCTGTACTTCTTGATTGCCAAAAGTGCTCATCTTAATAACAGCTGAATGTTCTTGCCTCCATCTACTTGGTACTTTAGCAGTTTCTCCAGACCTTGAGGTAGCTTTTTGCCCTACAGCTGTGTCCCCAGAGTCCATTTTGTTACACAAGGTCTTAAGTGCTAGTTCACTTGAAAGCTGTGCAGATACATGGAGTGTGTCCAAAGCTGTGCTTTTTAAAGTTTTGTTGCTGCCATTTTTCCAGGGCTGTTGCAAATTCACAGACTTTTCTTTCTCTTTGGAACTTTCCACGCAGTAGTCTATAGGCATTAGATTTGTGTCTGTACACTAATGTGAGTATTATACAGTTCTGTTCATGGCAGGAACTTTCCTAAACATTTATTATGTATTTGCAAAGACTTGTTATAGCATTTGGACATTTTCCATTGTTATTAAATACTGAGATGCAGAATGACCCAGAAATATTTGTGATCTACTAGAGCAAAGCTCGCTTCATCTCCTCCATTTTGACACAGCTATCTGTATGGAAAAATCAAAAACAAAGAAACCCCACACACCAATTAATACAGCCATGCTAAATAACATTGATGCAGTCAGTTGCTCTTCTATTAAGCGTTACACGAAAAGTATTGAGGGACTTAAGCAAAGGTAACTACATTTCACAAAATTCCCTTTTGTGAGCAGACACAGTGAAGTCTGGCTCCAGAGATTGCACACAAGCATAATCACTACTCAATAAAAGCCCTAGGAATAGAAAACAGAGATCTACACTTTCCAAATTAAACAGTAGCTTGGGAAGGCTTTCTGGAGATGATAGTTTAAGGGCTTAACTCTCAGAAAGTCCACCACCTACTTTCACAGGTCTTATAGCAAATCACAGCTGAGAACAGAGTCCTAACACCATGGGTGAGAATTACCTTATTCAGCATTACTCACCTACAGTTCAGACATGCACTTTAGTCACCGGGCCCTCCTCTGAAGTCAGAGGAGAGTGATCAGTACCTCCAGAGGAATCTTTTCATACTATGATGGCTGCTTCAAACACAGGGGATGCTTATGCACAGGTACCTCCATGATGGAGCTGCCTGTTTCTCACTGTCAGCTAGGCAGAAATCCTAGACAACTACCTTGGAGTATATATCAAATTCATAAGATGGCTAAAGTGAGGCACTTTTTACCTTAGATCATCTAACTGTTTTTACAAGAAGGTGTTTATCACCCTTTTAAACTACTTTTAAACACTCAAAAAAAGGTATCAAATAAGCTTTCCAAATACAGCACCGTTGGTACCTTTCCACACCTCCATCTTCCAATCACTAATTAAATCTTAGTGAGAATGTCTTGCTAGAGGTAAAACATGCATTACAGAAATGAGCTATGACTGTATTTATGTGACTTTAGCATTTATGATTTCAGTGTCGAAACACTTCCATCCAGCTATGCATGTACTTTCTACGTTTAAATGCAATAGGTTTCCACAGCTCTATTATAAAGAAGAAAAGCTCAAAGAGATGATTTTCATAGAAAAGTACAGCATTTGAATTTGAAGAACAATGTAGGCTTCCTGCTTTCATATTATCCAAACACACGAAATTTTCTGGATGAAACACTGAGAATTATAAAGCCTGTCATGATATTAAAATAGCAAGGAAAAGGATAAAAAAGAGCAGTGTTAGAAATATTGGAATACTTTTCATTCCTGTAATAGGAAAATTGAATTTGGCTTGAAGAAACATAAGCAAAGTGCAGGAAAACATACAGATAATGGGAATATATGTTTTGATGTTGTTTGGGTTGGGTTTTTTTTAGAATAAAGCAATTACCTGCATCTTCTAAGCATCTAATAGGCATGACTGTCTTCAAATTTCCTGTAGGAAAAAAAAAAGGAGTCATAAGAAATTCTTGATATTAAGTATAGATGCTGAAGTTTTCTATTCTTTACAGTAGAGACCTGAACATTCCACTTATCCATCACTGGAAAAAAATTATGTTGTGTCTTAATAGTTCTGAGCAACCACATTTTGAAGAACATGAGCATAAGTCTTTCCAAAGTACTTACTTAGGTTTCTAGCATGTGGAAGAATAACTGCAAATCTAAACTAATGCAGGCTCACCTTCCTGAATCAGTAAAAAGAGAGCTGCTGATGTCCCTCTTCATTCCTACACCTTTGTTAAGCCTGGATTATCCGTGAATCCCATTGGCAAATCCCCTTTCAATGCCTCTCTCCAGCTAATGCTTTTAAATTCTGGGCCTCTCCTTAAATGGTTCAGGGACCAGAACAAAATCTTGGTCAGGGTGTCAACACTTAGGTACAAGGAAATGTAGTAAAATGCGAGTAGATTTCCAAATCAGTTAACACCAGTGGGACACTACTCAAGAATGTATGGCTGCCTTCTCGAAGAAGAAACCTACAGACCAAAGACTTCCATGACTGCCACGACTTGCCACTTGTCTGACCATCACCAGACCACAGGCTAATCTCAGTATCACTGAAAAGACTGGCACAGAAAATAGGGAGCAAGAACAATATCATCGATGTCAATAATGATGCCAGTGTACAAGCACAGATGTAAAGGAAAATGTGTATCTTGAGAAGCAGAAGCAAGGAAGAGAGGGAATATTCCTCATCGGGAGAGCATAAAGTAATTAGCCTCCTTCAAAGAAAAATACTTTACTCCTTATTAGACAACTTTGCAAGTGGTGAAGAAGAAACTTCTAGAAGATGGGAGTATTCTTTCTGTTCCGTACACCCTCTACTGACAGTATCTTTAGGGAAGAAATCTGCCAGTCATGGAAATGTAACAGCACTGTGTTTTTTGTGAGCAAAAGATGATGCTAATATACTTCCAACAGTTTTCTGTTCTGGACAGAGACGTCCATTACAGAGTTCGAGCCATTCTGTGTCCTGCTATTTGCAGAACATTCTATACAATTTTTCAACCTACACTATGAAACACGTATAGACTAATTACAGGGATTATTGGTGGCTTAGGTTTGGTCAGAGTCACTCCCCTGGGGAAAATAAATCCCTTTCCAGAACCAACATAATAATTTCTGGTTTGGTTTGAGCTGCCATCCATACTGTCAAAGACAGCTCTTGGTTTCTTCTCTCTTCCCACCCCATTTCCCCCACGAACGGTACTTTGGTCTACCTGGAGAAATCAAAGACACTGCAAAGCTAGTGTGCATTCTGTCTGTTTTTTCCAGTCAAGCCTCCAGATCATCTACCTGCATCCACAGCCTAGCTTAAGCCAACAACAGACTTCCATTTTCCACCAATTAATGTTCCTCCTTTAGAAAACACCATATATATAGTTTTGCATATTGTTCTCCACCAGACCTATACTATTCAACACACAGAAATGCCCTATATTTGAAGTACTATGTATTTAAAACTAAGGAAGTAAGGATGATAAAAATGCATGTTTTGTTTAATAACTTTGGCAAGGTTCAGCTCCACTGGAGTGACGAAGAGGAGCCCACCTACACAGATCAGAAGCCGGATGGGAGTTGCGTTGAGCACATCGTTTGACAGGAGGTGCAAAGTCCTGCCTGGCTGGGGGCCAAAGCCAGGTTTCCCGGTAGGAATGTGGTCCAGGAGCCAGCTCCCCCAGCCACACTAACTGCACTATTTGCCTGCTTTAAACCAGGACATTTTACGTCTGTGAAAACTTTGAACATAAGATTACTAGGAAACCAGGAGCTGTATTTATGTCAAATGCACCTACTAAATCAAGGCTTTTAAAACTTTCTAGAAAGGAGCATTATCCTGTTGCTCTTTTTCCTAAGGTGCCGTTGTGAGCTGAATGCAGGGGACGTATGTCTGGTTGACTGCTCCAAGATTATTCCTTCCTTTTTTTCTTTTTTTTTTTCTCCCCTTTTTCAGACCATTAAAATGGTTACACTCAACAGCTTTAAAATAAAATTTGGCAAAATACAACTTTTACTACTTCTCAGTTTGTAGCTCATATTACAACTCTTGCAAGTGAACAGACTGGAAGCGTATGTCTTCCAGGCTAAATCCTGAGTGCACCATACAGAATAAATATTGACTCTAGCGTAAGGACTAAGGGTCAGTTCCAGCCCTGCTTTAAATCTTTTCTGTCCAGCTCTGCCAGCACAAAGCCGTCCTAAACCCACACTAATTGGCCCCTGAAGAATTTGTATTCTATAGGGCAAGCGTTAGCAGAGACAAGCTGCAGTGGCCCCTATGAAATCCTTACACTCTTGCACATACCTCTGCCAAGACCCTTATTAGGCAAGTCTAGTTTATATCTGGGATAAGCCCAGCAACCAAGCAGCCTTACAACAAAAAGGCCACCTCTGAGCTCTTCCCCACCTGCCACTGAGAAGAAAATTGCCTTGGCTTTTTGGTAAGAAAGACAGCACACATCTGGCTTGTTGTCCTATCCCACATTTCCCTCTGCCCCATTAATGATATTCCCCAAAGAGCTATTTGGTGTTGACATCCCAGTGGAAAAAAAAAACAAAAACCAAACCAAACAAAAAACTGAGAATCCTAATAAAACATTGATTTACAGCTTCTTCTACTTAGGCAAAGCCATAGGTGGACTAAGCCTGATGAAGGCCACTCAACCAGTATTCAGTGTGCGTCTCTGAACTGAAGGATTTAACAGGCATGAAGGTAGGTAAGCATTTGTTCATCCTTCTTTGCAAGGTTATATATTCATTCCTGGACTGAGAATGTTATACACCGACATGACAGAAAAAATCCAGTCTTTAGGGTATATAAGTTTTGGCATTTTACTCAACCAATTGAAAGCTTTTTTATACTGCTTAACACCACAGTTGTGGTCTTTGAACTGTACTTACTAAAAAGATAAGGCAGAAGAAACACTTCTTAAATTTACCAGCTTTGTAAAAAAGGCTTCCTGTTCTTGACCAGAGAGATTCTCTTTGCATTTCCAGCAGCCCCTGGCTAGGGGTCCCATTTGACTGTGGTTTTGTAGCTGGACTTCTAACCTGTCTATTTGAACACCTCTAGGAATGACTGTAAATTCCTATGTCAACCACTGGCACTTGGCAGTCTTGAATTCCTGGGGAATGCAAGGATGCCTGTGATTTTGTGCAGTTTGGCAGGAGTCGTAAGACATCCTTTTACACATGCAATTCCAAAAAGGCAGCCCTTTTAAAACACATTAGGTGTATTTAATTTAATTTACTGCTTTCTATATTGCAATTGCTGTTGTTAACTCTTCACATTTGAAGACATTAATTTGTTCATTTAATCCCACCCCAGATGTTCTACCTACCCTCTGGGTTTCAGTGCTTTATTGAATATATTGACAGTCTCCAAAACCAGTCAGAGAATTACGGTTTTGAAAATACTCTGAAACATTTAGAGTAACACATGTTTTTTAAATTTGGGCAGCTGCACTAATCACTACAACGTAATTTTTTAAATGTGATTTAAAAGTGCTATTCAATACAAAACCAAATACTGCTCCACAAGTACACATAGCACACTGTGAATTTACTATTAAATGATCAAACAAACTCTACTAAGCTTTCTTGAAGAGAAGCTATAGGGCAGGATGTGTTCTCCACTGCTATGCTGGGTAAACACTTGTGCTCACAAGGATCCCCCCACAAGCCAGGAACTGAGGGGACTGACTGTGAGGATCCAGTTACAGACGCATCAAGGATAGACTGCGAGCTTACTGTGACCGAATACCGACTTCAGGCTTTACTCTAAGGTTTCTATGAATGCACATTTGTACCCCTGGTAGTTGCAGGTTTTAAAGGACAGAATCTGTGCACATAAAACTAGAAGTGGTATAAAACCTGGCATCTTGATTTATGTAATTATTATTTTAGAGGTTGCACCAAATCTGGTTCATATTTATTCAATATTCTCATATTCACAGGATCACAGAATGGTTAGGGTTGGAAAGGACCTTAAGATCATCTACTTCCCACCCCCCTGCCATGGGCAGGGACACCTTCCACTAGACCAGGTTGCTTAAAGACCCATTCAACCTGGCCTTGAACACTGACGGGGATGGAGCACCCACAGCTTCTATGGGCAACCTGTTCCAATGCTGCACCACTCTCACAGTAAATTTCTTCCTTATATCTAACCTAAATCTCCCTGTTTAAGTTTGAACCCATTACCCCTTGAGAACTATTCTAGAATCTCAGCCATTGAGAGATGGCATATAACAGTGCATTTTAGATAGCTGTAGTAGTATTGATTATTTAATTCATTTTAAGGCTTTACCAAACTCACCTTAATCTTGTTAATTCAGTTAATTCAAACTATTATCTGAGACCATTATCTGAGTAAGCTGAAGAAAATAACTGGAACCTGTTTGCTTAAAAACATGCTGAAGCCAACTTAAAAAATAAATAAATAATCATATCAGTTGTACTCTAACAGCCATTTACTTTAACTGTAGGAACTTTTACTTTCCTCAGACATTTCATATAAATGTCAATGGATACACGATGTGAAGAACAAGACCCTCCTTTCCTCTGAATGTGATCCTACTGAACCAGCGGTCAGGCACACACCATCCCTTCTGTGGTGACCTTATAGAAAAATCAGAATTGTTTGAAAAGTCTCTCATTTGACTTGAAGGAGCTCTGAACTGATATGAGGCTTGACTCAGAGCAACTAAAAGGAGACAAATTATTCTAACAGCAAGTAAAAGTAAGAGCTAAATTCTGCTCTACACTTCGCTGGTATGAATCTGAAGCAATGAGTTGCAAATCCAAGAACATAATTCCAGATTTAGTCCTCATAGGAATCAACAAAATCAGGCATCACTTAGGTTTAGGCTCTTGCATCCTGCACACTAAATATCTGAGGTTATTTGTTACAAGGTGAAAATAAATTAATCCAAC